GATCATATAAAAGTCCTTCCTTTCCAGTTTTTTTCCTGTACTCGGGTGACAGGCAAGTAGTTTGAAGATTTAACATTTTTATTTTGGCCTCACCCGGTTATAGCCAGAGATAGTTCAGCCTCTCTCCCTCTGAAAGATCCAGTATACAGCCTAGCTTGTCAGGACTAAATGGGTCAGGTTTCATGTTAGACATTAAACTGCTTCATGGGATAATTTATAGTGTACCTTAATGTCTGAAAGGTCAAGATGGACAACAAGACTGCTGCGTCATGTATAAATCACCAAAGAGGGACGAGGATCGCAAATCTCATAAGCGAATTGAGACGAATCATTCTTTGGTGTCAACAACATTTTGTGTGTCTCAGATGAGTCTACTTTCTGGGGAAGGATAATGTATAGGGGATTTCCTGAGTAGATCAACCCTGGATGCAGGAGAATGCCTCAAACAGATCTGATGGCTTCTTCCAGGAATGTTCAGTTTCCAAGATTCTTTTCTCGAAACCACAAATTCCAAGCAGAAGCTCAATATGCACCAATACAAATGTGAACATTCAATTTGGGTAACATCTTCCCTCCAATTGCTTTCATTCACCGATCCTTTAGAAAATTTTGGAACTCCAAACTTAAGATGATCACCATGCTTCCATTTTGGCCTCATAGAGCTTTGTTTACATGGCTTATGAGCATGAAACCTTCAGTAACCTTGGATCTATCTTCTCCATCAAGGACCAGCTCTATAGCTATCAACCTATTGCTTGTGAAAGGGATTCTCTAGTAAAATCAGGAATCTCTCCAGGGACTCTGCTTAAAGCTAGATTAGATAGGAAGAACAGAAGTTTTTCCTTACCTTTATGTTTAGACAAAGTTGCCTTAGAGGCTTTTATATGATTTCATTGTTTAATTTCTTTTAAGATCCTGTCCTTTCACCTGGGAGGTGTGATTAAACCCATCAGTGATGCTGTCATGGAAAATAGCCAGGAAAAGAAAATTATGGTAAGTATGAAACAAATGTCTCCTTTAATATTGACTCGTGGAATGACACCAGGAACCACAAGCACTTCAATGAGAAGAGGTGATTATGGTGCCTAAAGTGTTATTTTAACACTTTAAGAGTAACTAAAGGGAAACTATAGTGCCAGGAAAACAGCTTCCTATTTTGTTAAAAACCCTTCTGTTACTTACCAGAGTTCAGCACCGATGTCTCTGTGCTCATTCGGGCTCCGCCTCGGTTTCTCTTCAATCAATGTCAACCGGCGGGGGAGACCTAATGCATATGCACGATGATTGCTGCACTCGCATTAGAACTTGTACAATACTTTCCTATGGGCACTTGGGTGATGCTGGACGTCCTCATGCATCATGTGAGGATGTCCAGCGTCAGTTAGGCAAATGACACGGAAGTCCCTTAGGTAGACAGCCACTAGAGGTGGAGTTAACCCTCAAAGGTAGTGATTGCAGTTACTTAAAAACTGCAATAATTGCCTTTGCATGGTTAAGGGACCCGGGACACTGCACCCAGACCATTTCTGGTCTAGTGTCTTTAAATTCCTGATAATATTAGTAAATAACCTTCTGGGTATTGTTAGGTATGTGTTGCTTTGCAGAAATTCTCTCGTTCTCAACCCTGGTAAAATAGCATTCTATTAAAATTACTGAACACGTTGAGTTAATTTCATCACATCTTCCATCTGATAAATGTGTA